GGAGGAGGAGGGAGAGGGGCAGGAGGGGGAAGGAGGAGGACACTCCCACTTGATTTGAATTAACTTATCCCATCTTTCTTGTCACTTTCTGGTGCAGTTGTGGAAGTGCTCTTTCATGAAAGTTTTGATTTTTACATGATTTTTCTTGCAAATTGAATCCCTTAGATGATATATTTGGTGATGCCCCTTTACATTAGTAGGTACATACACACACACACACACACACACAAAACACTCTTTAGTTTTAGAAAAAGAAAATAATCCCATATTCCCTTACCATCTCCACCCATCAAAGGCTCATTTTGCCTCCCGGAGCTGCTCCCGGCTCAGCGCAGGTTGTTATAGTAATGCTGAGGCCGGGGCTCCTAGTGATAGACGGGGATTTCCCACGTCTGGAAGTTCTGGAAGCCGGAGGCCTAGGCCTCCACAAGCTGAAAGCCCTGTGCTTCGGTCTGATGTGGTCCCTAGGAGGGCTCTCTTTTCGGTTTTCAGTGGCGGCCCTCATTGTGTGTGTTTGGAGGATCCCTGCTCTGTGAGGACTAAGAGCGTGAAGGAGTGAAGAGGAGAGAGAGAGACGTGCTTCTTCTTACACCGCACCAACGGCACCGTGAAAGCCCGGCTTCTTCTTCCTATTGCCTCCATTCTTCTTCCTAAGATGCCTCCTCCAAATACCCCCACGGTTGGGCTTCAGGATGGAACGCACAACTGGGCCTGAGGGGTACAAATCAGTCATAGTAGACACATGCTTCGCTATAAAATATTAAAATCATGTCCCAGAACTGTATTTAGCCAAGTAGTTACTTTGTTCCACTTGTGACACACGCTAAAGTAATATTTTAACTGTCCTGAATGTATGCTGAGTGACCACCTGCTTGGGTCACACTCTGGGTGACCACCTGGGTCAGACACAGTACATAAATACCATGAAAGAAAACTCATGTTCTTCCATTATTATTGCTACAAGTTCCCTGAGGAACTACCCTAGCTGTGTACTCAGTTTTCCAGTTAACTGAGGAAATGAAATAATAATAAAAATACTCTAAAAGAAAACGAATACTTCATTAGCATTTCAGAGAGTAAACCAAAGAGAGTGAATTTTTCCTTGACATACATGGGAATAAGT